GATAATTCCTTAGATGACGATATGTAATTAGCACGAAAAGGCTGGGAAAATGGAATTGGAAGTTTTAATTTTAAAAATGAAAAAATTCTAATTTTTTAAAATTATTTAAACTACAATATGTAAAGGTATGATGTGGAAATGGATAAATTACGTGAAAATTTTAATTTTTTAAATTATTTCAACAATAAATATATAATGGAATAAAAATTATAATCAATTTTAATGAATTACTTATATTTTTAAAAAATTGATTTTATTTCAATTATCAAAATTACAATATTACAAGTCGTTTTTTTTTTTCCATTTTTTCTTTCTAATAGGTCATGTAGTATGACCTTTCGAAATTGACAAAAAATTTTGATGTATTACTCATTTGATAATACATATTTAATTTTTTACTGATAATTGATAATTTAAAACTAAAATAATAATAAAATATAAAACAAAAAATATAAAATATAAAAATATAAAACTAATATAAAACTAAAGCTTTAATAGTCGATCAGTATAATCAGTATGATGTAATCAGTTAATATAATCAGTATAATGATTATATATATTTTTAAGATTTGTGATCAATCAATACAATGTGATCAATATACTACAATCAATCAATGATAATTGTATATTATTTTAATATTAATTTCCTTACATTAATTTAAATTTAAAATTAATAAACAATAAAAGAAAAAAGGAATGAATATGGAAAAATGTTAGTTTAATTACTATATAGAAGAAATAAAATTAGGACAACTATTTGTTAATATTATCAACAAAAAAAAAAATCCTTAAAAATTACGAATGCTACCGTAAAATTTTTGGGTTTTTATGAATTCTTAGCTGTATAAAGATATTTTCATTCTTCAATTCCATTCCTTCCATTTCCTTTTTTTTCCCATCCCCTCCCCTCCTTCGAATTATTTGAATTTCATCCATTCATCATCAAATTATTAGTGCCATCCTAAATATATGTGACATAAATTATTATTAAATTTACATTCCTTTTTTTTTTCGCCCTTTTCAAAATTACATTTTTCTGATGATGATTCATTTTAATGGAAGTTATATCCGGTAATTAATTGTGGAAAAAAAAAAAAAGAAGAAAGAAACCAGATTGGTTTAAGTGAAAAATGATTTGTCTCTTTGTAGAAGTAGCAAAGAAAATTTTTGGGTAATTTTATTTTTTTCAAATTTCTCATTTTTATAGTTAATCGTTTTTGTGATAGAAATCAATTATACAAAAAGGAAAAGATACCTGATATTGTTGGGTATGGTAAAAAATAATCAGCCATTTTTTGAGCATAGAAAGAAATGATGAAGAAAAGATACCCGATATTTTTGGGTAAGGCAAAAATTACCCGCAATTATTTTAGTTCAGGAGAAAAAAAACGAAAATTTTGATACAATTTTTAAGAAAAAAGCTTCTCGATATCTTGAAATAATAACCAATAATCTAGATCGATAATTGAAATGGAAATAATAGATAATCAAAATGGAAATAACAAATAATCGAAATGGGAATAATATATAATCAAAATGAAAAGAATAGATAATCGAAATGGAAACACTAGTAGCAAATTTGTTATGCTTCTACCGCATTATGTAAATTTATCTTCAATTGGCATTTCGATTAACCATTAACGTTACATTTCGATTAACCATTAACGTTACATTTTTGCTAATACTCAATTTAAAACGATAAAAATTTTAGCTAATCGATTAAATGAATTAAGCAATGCTAATGTTAATAATAATTAAAATTAAAAAAATAAAAATTGAAAAGTTTTAAACAAAAAATATATTAATCAATTTTTTTT